AGAGAGAGAAAAAGAAAGAACAATTGTTCATTGCTCATTGTTAGACTTCTCATCTGAGAAAATGTGTTGGCTGTCCTCCACAATAACTCTAACCGTCACTTGAGGTTCTCTCAAATGGCAGCAAGAAAGGCTCACTTTGTACAATGAAAGAAGGACTCTTGAATTGAGAAGGAGGTCCTCCTACCATCTTAGCTGAGAAAGATCAAACTCTGAGTATCTTAGAGGGGAGGATATAGTTCCAGACCTAATATCTTGGTTGTTTTATCTGTGGTGGGAATTGTGTACAGAACAGCACACCACTGTGTGCAAGTATAATTAGAAGGGGTTGATGCTTTTGTACACAGTGTGACAACAGAATTCATAGTGAGGTGGCCATGTTATAACACAAATCACAGAGGGTCACTGTGACATATTTGCAGAATGGCTGCTCCATTGGTGCATGTGATAGAATGGAGTTTGCCCCCCCCCGACATGAGGCGAGATGAGAATCTTGTGTTTCATCCCAGGGGCAGGGGGGTGGAGTGCACAGTATTTGACTGTGCTCTTCCTCCTCTGCAGCCTCTTTCGAGGCTTTCTTCCCACCCACCACCCACCCTTTATCCAGTTTGAGTCTGACTGGTTGTCTTTTTGGGGCCAGATAGGAATTTTTTCCCTGCTGGCCAGATTGGCTTATGGTTGGTAGGGTTTTTTGCCTATCCCACACTGGTATAGGTTTGTTGCATTGCATTGTTAGTGGTTTACTTACTGGTCATGCTGTTGGGTAGTGAGGAAACAACAACGATCAGTGAGTGCCCAGGGAATATAAGGGAGGTGATAGCCCAACTAACCTTGTGGTGCTGCGGATTGTGAGGTTACAGTGTGTGTGGGGGGGGAGAATGTGCTAGGGCCTGCCCTGGGCTGAGGGCTTACAAGCCCAGGAGTGGTTGCCTCAGGTGCCGGCCAGCCCCACATTCTCCAAGGGACCATGTGACAATGGGGAATGGGACTCATCTGAATGTGTTTGGGGAGGGGGTCCCATGAGAACTTCAGCCTCAAACCTGATCCCGCACTAACGCAGCCCCACTGCTTGGGAACAATAAAGTCACCTGTTCAATAAAGTATGGCCCTAATTAATGCAACACCTGTGTCTTACCTCTTTATTACAGTGTGGGGGGCACAATGTCTGAACTTAAGTACAGGGACCCTGGAAGTCATGTTCTGTAGGAAAAAATCAAAGAACCCCTTTCCGAGTGGATTCATTCAATAACTACCATCAGCAAACCAAATAAATTGCATAACTCACCACAGCATTTTGCATATCTCGCCTGTTTTATTGCCATCATTTTAAAAAAATCACAGAAAGAAAACTTTTTTTAGTGTGCATTTCTGAGGAAAGTTTTCTTCAAGGCTTCTTTCACATCTTTATTCCTCAGTGTATATATCATTGGGTTCAACAGTGGAGTTATCGCAGAGTAAAAAACAGCCACAATTTTGTTGGCATTTGATTTGTATTTTACTGCGGGGCGGACATACATGAAAATAAGAGTGCCAAAATAGATGGTGACTACAGAGAGGTGAGAGGCACAGGTAGAGAACGTCTTCCTCCGGGCAGCAGCAGAAGACATTTTCAATATGGTGATTAAAATCTTTATATAGGAAGCTAGAGTGAATAAAAGAGCAGCCATTATAATGACTGAGCTAAAGCCATAGCCCACAACCTGAATGGCATATGTATCCATACATGCAAGTCGAAATATCTGCCCAGCATCACAGAAGAAGTGATTAATCCTGTTGGGGTTGCAGAAGGAAATTTTCGCTAACCTAAACGATGTGTACATAGGGCAGAGAAACCCTACAAACCAACATATCACAGCTACATTTCTGCATGTCACAGGATTCATGATAGTAGAATAACGTAATGGGTTACAGATGGCAAGGTACCTGTCATAAGCCATGGTTGTAAGGATAAAGAGCTCTATAGCAGCAAAGGCAAAGAAGAAGTAATATTGGGTGATACATCCTTGAATGGAAATGGTCATCTTTTTCGACAGCAGATTTTCCAACATCTTAGGCACTGTGACGGTGGTGTACCAGACCTCGACCATCGACAGATTGCAGATGAAAAAATACATGGCAGTCTGCAGGTGTGAATCTACCAGCACAATAACAATAATCAGCAGGTTCCCCATAAGAGACAGGATGTAGATGATTAAGAACAGAACAAACAGCAGGGTCTCAAGGTTTGGTATGCTGGTGAAATGAAGAAAGACAAATTCTGCAACCGCAGTTCTATTTTCTTTCTCCATCATATCAGACCACTACAGGGGCATAAACAATAACAAAACAACGACAATAATGAATAAAAGAATTCTGAGGGCTTTCCCACCAAAAAAATAATAATCCATATCCCATATCCTATACAGTGGTGCCCCGCATAGCGAGGTTAATCCATTCCGGATTAACCGTCACTATGGGGAAACATTGCTATACAGAACGGAAAACACCATAAACTTAGTTTAATGCGTTCCTATGGCTCCTAAACTCACCATTCTGCGAAGTTTCTCCATAGCACCGCCATTTTTGCACCCTCGGTAAGTGAGGGCAGGGCGCGAAAACAATGCGGGTGGCCATTTTGGACGTCCGGCGGCCATTTTGGAATCACCGATCAGCTGTTGAAAAAAACATCACAATGCGAAAATCGTCGCAATGCGATGTTTGCCCTATTCAAACATCGCAATGCGATCACATATCTGAAAAAACAGATCGCTATGCGGATTCATCATTAAACGGTGCACTCGTTAAGCGAGGCACCACTGTATTTGATTTCTTCCTCTAGTAAAAAAAATGTCTTAAAAGCCTTTCACTGATTTTTTTTCAGTAATCTGTATGTATACTGAAGATGTATGCACAAACAAATTGTTTCTATCCAGGGAGTCACCCTACCTGAAAAAAAGCTCAGTGGCTCTGCATTTTTTTCCTCCTGAAAGAGAGAGGAAAGACCAGCACACTTTTTCAGAAACAGGATTTTTTTAAAAAAAAACAACAACCATTCTTTGTAGAAAAAAACTATTGTACAAAGATGTTTATTTTGCATCAGTGCAACCGATTTTGCACATAATATAACATTCTGTGCAAACTGCATGATTTTTGTACCAAAAGTCCCCATTCAAATGTGAAAAAGGTACAATTCTCATAAGTTCCACACCAGAGAGAAAATTGGTAACATTTTTCATTCTTAGCTGCAAGAATAAATTATCCAAAGTTTGTGATCACTAATATGCACACACCTGGTACATTATATTAAGAATGCTTAAAAGGTAAATGGGGAAAGTCTGGTAGATTTCTGCATGGTCTACAATAGTTTGGGAGATGTTTAATAGCAGCTAGGAATAAATGAGGATTTTGCTTGGTTCATTGTTCAAACAAGTTCTTTCAAACATTTTCAGAGGAAGGATTTAACTTGAAGTTAACTATTTCCCATGAATATGAGTGGAACCACAACTGGCAAATTTTCATGCCCAAGCTCACAAATTCATGATAATACCTCTTTTAAAAGTCTGCGTTTTCATCCCTCTACATATAACTAAATTGGTGCTGATTTAGTGCCACTTTCCCCCCTTTAAATCCCATTTCTGCCTGTCTTCCCTATGTTAATGTTAGGAAGCCTGTCAAAACTAAGAACATGCAAATAAAAAAGGTGGCAACAGTAATTTGGCTATAGCAAGCTTTAAAGTTAAGGGATTAAGATTCAGACTTGTAAGAACTGAGCACTCAGATCCTTGAACATAAATGGATGAATGTTTCTGTTTGTCTTCATTCACCTAAAGAAAACACAAAATTCTCCACTCCAAATTTGAAGAAATCCATTATTTGTAATAAATTATTACAAAAAACAAACAAACAAAAACTCAACAAACCCAGAAACATTTTTCCCCACTCATCCTGCTATGGGCATGAGTGTTCAGATTAGCTCTGACAACAGCAACCATCTTCCATGAATCGTAACAGTACTGTTAAAAAGTCATTTAACTGTGGAACTGTCACAGCATTTTGTAACAGTGTATTTTGAAAGTTAATAGTACAGGAGGACAAAGGAACCAGAGGAAGAAGTGTCATGCAAAACAACTTACCAGAAAATTACTGTAGATGTGAAGTAATGAAACACTGAAGACCTATAGACCGGATGGGTTTTTATTTGATTAGTTTTTAACACTAGATAAAAATACAACGCACGGAAAAACAAAAGGACTTTCAATTCCTTCCTGTGCCTTACTCCCAATTAGTTTTTCAGGCTCACAATGATGATGACTTGTTCAAGCTGTTGCATCTGTTTGTTCTTATTTATTCTACATGGTGCATCGCGTCCTGTCATGCAGCTTTGTGAAACTGAGATGGAAATGTTAGTATCAGCTTGTTAATATGGGTTTAGAGTGGATCTGCAGGGAGCTCTATTCTTAAGAACCTTTTGAAGCTGGTGGTAAAGTTAAGTATCCCCATGTCTCCTGGGGGCACAGAGGTTGATCTGAACACCTAATTCAGCTATTTCTTTTTGGAGATAGTATCTATATTACCCAATTTTGTTTTAAGAAAAATCAGTATGATAAATAACAAAAGGTAGTGGAATTGGTTTCTTCATGGGACAGGTCTGACTAATTTGTGAATGTACCCTAATACGTGCCGATATACTGTACATCCTATATTGTGATTCCCTTTAAATTGCTATTTATTGTTGGATGTTCCAACAGGACTAACATCTACTTTCTTCCCAACAGTCCTCTGTCTCCTATAATTCAAGAAATGTGTGTGTGTGTGTGAGAGAGGGCCACAAGACACAAACACTGGGATTATGTACTAAGTACCCTGAAGGTGTGGATCTCAGGGTTTCTCAGCTTAATAAAAATTAACAGTTTTCTGCAGCATCATTAGTTTAATCATGTTCCAACAGGACTAACATCTACTTTCTTCCCAACAGTCCTCTGTCTCCTATAATTCAAGAAATGTGTGTGTGTGTGTGAGAGAGGGCCACAAGACACAAACACTGGGATTATGTACTAAGTACCCTGAAGGTGTGGATCTCAGGGTTTCTCAGCTTAATAAAAATTAACAGTTTTCTGCAGCATCATTAGTTTAATCACTAGAGAACACACAAAACACAAACACTGGGACTATGTACTAAGCACCCTGAAGGTGTGGATCTCAGGGTTTCTTGAGCTTAATAAAAATTAAGAGTTTTCTGCAGCATCATTAGTTTAATCACTAGAGAACAGACAGTAATTCTGGCAAGAAGCCTTTGAAAGAGTAAGGGTTTGTTCAGGAGCTTGAGTTCAAATATTTGCAGCTGATCTTAGACAGCTATACACTTCCATTTTCTTCACAACCCAGGTGCTTGATGATGCTTGCTATTTCTGATTCCATGTGTGTAGTATACATGCATGCACGCACGTACGCACGCACGCACGCACGCACGCACACATGCATACATACATACATACATACATACATACATACATACGGATGGATGGATGGATGGATGGATGGATGGATGGATGGATGGATGGATGGATGGATGGATGGATGGAGACACAGAGAGAGAGAGAGAGAGAGAGAGAGAATGAGAATTTCTGTTGCCTGAGAGTAGGAAACTGAGAATAATTTAATGAATAGGAAAATGGAGTTGAATAAAAGATGCAAAGCCCTGTATCAAGTGCAAAAATCTTGCCTTCTAGATTTTGTGCAAACTTCATTTCTACACTTTTCTTTGGTCATTTCCGCTGCTATTGGATAAGTACTGGCTTCTCTCTCTCTCTCTCTCTCATGGAGAAGCTGAAAAGCTCATAGTAGTTTACATTTCTTTCTGATGAGTGGTGTCAATGAGTGGTGTCATTATTTCTCACCAAGGAAGAGAAAAATTGTAAACATTCATTACATCTTTAATCTGCACCGCACAATCGTAGACATTTTAAAGTTGTCCTTTTTTGTGGCTCCTCCTAGAAAAATATGGAATTTGGAGTGTGGTGAGTTACTTTCAGGCTCCCTGAGAGCATCAGGGGAAATTGGGTTTAATGTACAGTAGTGCCTAGCTTAACGGGCACTTCGTTTGATGACAAAATCGCTAGACGTTGATGTTTTTGCGATCGCAAAAGCGATTGCAAAAGGATGTTCCCTATGGGGGAATTTCGCTTTGCAATGATCGGTTCCCTGCTTTGGGAACCAATCGTCACAAAGTGATGATTTCTGGCAAGCTGATTGGTGGTTTCAAAATGGCCGCCAGGTAAACAAAATGGCCGCCCGCTCTTTTCTGGCACGGATTCCTTGCTGCACAGGCAGCGAAAATGGCCGCGCTATGGAGGATCTTTGCTGGATGGTGAGTTTCAAGCCCCTAGGAACTCATTAATCGGTTTTTAATGCGTTTCTATGGGCTTTTTAAAATCGCATTACGATGTTTTCATTTTACAGCGATTTCGCTGGAACGAATTAACGTTGTAATGCGAGGCACCACTGTAGTTACAGTTAATGTAATTGTAGTTCAAGAGACTACATCTCTCTACCAGAAGATGCTGAATATCTCATCTAACCACAGACCTTATAATTTCTTAGAATGCAGCCATAACAGCGGAAACAATATAAAACTATAACTGTATCTGTGTCATGTAGGTGCACCTGATAATTCCATTCTTTGTAGAATGAGAAAAAACACTGTAATCATTATTCCACCCAGGCATATCCATTAAAAAGTAAGTCTCAAGACAGATGATATTAACAACTATAGACCTCTCGCTAATGTTCCATTCTTAAGCAAGCTACTGGAGAGAGTAGCGGCTGATCAGCTATAGGCAATCCTGGAGGAGACTGATGCCTCAATCCATTCCAGTCAGGATTCAGGCTGTGTCATGGCACAAAGATGGCATTGGTCACCCTGCAAGATGGCCTTATGAGGGAGACTGACAGAGGCAAAATGTCCCTGTTGGTCCTCCCCGATTTCTCAGCTGCCTTTGATACCATCGACCATGGTATCCTCCTGGGAAGGCTCTCTGGCCTGGCTTTGTCCTGAACTCTGATCCTTGCTAGAGGACCATCCCCCAAAAGTGCAAATCAGGAAGATTATGTCCACCCCCTGGACTTTTAATTATGGAGTCCCACAGGGGTCAATCATATTCCCTTTGCTGTTGAATATCTATATGAGGCCACTGGAGGAGATCATCGGAGGTTTTGGACCCTCGTGTCACCAATATATGGATGACACCCAGCTCTATCTTTCCTTCCATCCTTCTGCAGAGGATGCCGTCCCATCCATTGAGCACTGCCTGGATGCTGTGCTGGGGTGGATGAGGGATAATAGACTGAGGCTGAACCCAGGCAAGATGGAAGTCCTGTGGGTGGGTGGCCCTAATGTTTGTGGTCTGGGTGCCTCCCTCTCCTTGGGGGAAGTGCTCTTTCTACTAAGGATGAGGTTTGCAGCTTGGGTGTACTTCTGGACCCAACACTATCAATGGAGTCCCAGATAGGATCTGGGATCCACTTCACCAATCTCCACCTAAGGTGGATTGCCCAGCTGCATCCCTACCATGACACAAGGTCCTTCACCATGCTGTCCATGCACCGGTAGTCTTAAGATTAGACTACTGCAATGCTCTCTATGTTGGGCTACCCATGGGACCACTATGGAAACTTCAGCAGGTCCAGAACATGTTGACCAGATTGCTGAGTGGGATGAAGAAATACCAAAGAAATACCCTACACTGGCCACCTTGCACTGGTTACCTGTTTGTTTCCATGCCAGCTTCAAGGTGACGAGTTTGACATACAAGGCCCTAAATGTCTTGGGACTTTGATACCTAACAGAACTCCTCCTTCCAATGAGATCTGCATATTAACATCTCATAATAAGATTCTTTGTCCAAGTCAACTGAATAACTGAATAACTGCTAGTAGAAGGGCAATGGGAAGGGGGTCAGACTGGCCTTGGGGAGACCATTCTACAGCCTGGAAGTAGCCACCTAAAAGTCTCTTTCTCATGGCTTCACTAAATGGGTTTGGGAAAGTAGCATCGATTTCAAAGTGTTAACGCTTACTTATAAAGCCCTAAACGGTTTAGGACCTCGATACTTGGCGGAACGCCTTCTCCCACCAAGATCTACCCGTGTCACTTGCGCGAGCCAGGAGATAAGGCTGAGGAGCCTAACGCCGAGAGAGGCCCGAAAGGAAAAGACCAGAAACCGGGCCTTCTCGGCGGTGGCTCCTCGCCTTTGGAAAAACTTGCCCCCTGAGATTCGCGCGGCTCCCTCGCTGGGCATTTTTAAGAAACAACTAAAAACATTGATGTATAGGCAGGCCTTCCGAACAGAAAACCTTTGACGATCTTTTTCTTACTCTGTTCTTTATTTTTATTTACGTTTCAGCTGTAATGTTTTAAAATTACATTCTTGTTTTTATTGTAAGCTGCCTAGAGTGGTCTAATATGATCAGATAGGCGGGATAGAAATAAAATAAATAAATAAAATAAATACAAATAAATATAGCAAAACCAAGAGAAGGCCCTCTCCAGATTTCACTAAATGGGTTTGGGAAGGTAGCAAAACCAAGAGAAGGCCCTCTCCAGAAGATCTTCAAAGCTTGGGAGATACATATGGGGTGCTACAGTCCTACAGATAGCCTGTCTCAATCTGTGTAGGACTTCTGGGTCTGCCAGATCTTGGCCTTCCTGAGACCAAAGTGATTAGTCAATGAATGACATCATAGTTGATATCAAGATGGAAATCATGTTTTTGACCTCTGAGAAGAGCCTGGGGTAGGTCATCCCCAACAAGTACAGCAAATATTGGATAAAAAATTGAATGAGATGCTACTTGAGCACCTATTTTAGGTATTGTCTCAACCTCATTGTACCTCCCGACAGGGAACAGAAGCCTTTGCATTACCTGCTGGATAAACCTAGGATATTATGAAAATCCCTCGACTGAAGTATTTTTATCATTTTCCTTTTGGAAATTACATATTGATATCCACAAGCCCCATGACTCTGCTGACAAATTGCTCCCCAATGAGCTTTTAAATCACCAAATGAAGTCTCCATGGCTGTATTTCTGAATGAGACCATCTGTTTCTTTCTCTGCTCACACTCTATGTAATGCACACAGCATCTGTATGAACACATTGAAGAAAACAGTAAATCTTTGTCAAGGGTTCTCTCACCCTTCACAACTGTTCAGACTGAATTACAGTAACAAATTGAATAGGGGTGAGTATTGTTCCTTTCCTTTGTCTCCTATTATTGTTTGGTCATCAAGTTGTTGCTGTTGTTGTTTTAAGGGAGTCCCCATTGTCCTTAATTCAGAGTGGGTGCCATTTGTTCAGTTATTTTGTCGAACTACTCCTTTGGTCTCAAGGTAGAGTCACAATGGATGGAGGGAGGGATCGCATGCCAGATGCCAACTGGTAAAATGGAGGCTTTTCAGGTACATCCAGTGAGTGACAGGATGCCTTTCTCTTTCTATACCACATAGAAAGAACTTTACAGATTGTGTGTCAAGTATGAAAGCAGAGAGAATGAATGAACATTCAAATTCAAATGAGATAACAGAAGTTTTAATATTTCTAATTGGAGGTTGGACAGAGTTTTATTTATCTAGAAATCTGAGTTGGAATTTCATCTTTGGACAGGGCTTTTTATGGAGTGGGTCAAAATCATCTGCTTTCTACAAATTTCTATATCTGATGTTCAAATGGATGGAAATCTATGGATTGGGGGAACAGACCATATTTGCTTCTTTCATGGAAAACATATTGGCCTTTATGATAGGATTGGGACACCTGTTTCCTATTAACATTTAAGAAGGTTAATCTACCTGAATGCACCCCATTGGATTTTATGATGTGGCAACAGTTACTGTGGCTGCATTTTCTAGGTGTCTCTCTTTCTTCAGTAACTGCACCTAAGCTATTATTGCATTACTCTAAAAGTCAGACAATTTCATGTATTGACTGATATCTCACATCTTTCCAATCATATGCACTGAAATTTTCTTTCTTGCAGCAATGGTTCTTACACAATATGGAGTCATCTTTAAACCTCTTTGTTCTCAAATTATAAACATAAGCGTTCTTAGGATGCTTGAGGAGAGGTTCGTGGCCAATGAGTTTATGTGTGCCATGACATCATCAATTCTAAAATTCTTGTTCTGTGGGAAAAATATCATGAGACACCTCAGCTGTATCACTGCTTTGCTTAGAGATTCACATTTCGACTTATCCTTCACAGAAACTTGAGTTCTTGAGTTACATGACATGATCTGCTACTGCTGGTACACTCATGAATTGTATCTTTATTCAAGAGTCATTCATCAGAAAAAAAAATTGTTGCCTTACACATCTGTGTGTATGTTGAAGAGAGAGAGAGAGAGAGAGAGAACTTGTATCTTCATTCAAGAGTCATTCATCAGAACAAAAAAATTGTTGCATTACACATCTCTGTGTGTATGTTAGAGACAGAGAGAGAGAGAGAGAGAGAGAGAGAGAGAGAGAGAGGGTGTTCTTAAAATCTGTTTATTTGCAAAAAAAAAAAGGTCAGCAAGGTGCAGGAAGGAAGGAAATTGAAGAATGAAGGATGCATATATTCTCTTTTTCTCCACTGATCGATGAAAAAATCTTGAATTCTGAAAGAGAAAGAAACATGCATTTCATACTATTATCATCTCAGTTTCACTTTGGGTTAGTTTAACTTGCTTATTCTGTTCTCTGAAAGAAGTTATGTCAATTAAGAGATGTATTAAAATATCTGGGCATAAGTCTGATTTGTATAAAATCTTACAGGAAGATATCACTTCCTTTGCTTATTTAATATTTTTAAATAAAAGTTATTAAAAGTAATTGGATGTGAACACAACAGAGTAAATAAATATCTGTGTTACTGTTCATTTATTTGTACTCGTATTTGCAAAATATATGCTTGAGTTCCAGGGGTTAATAAGTGGCTCTTCAGATATTGTTGTTCTGATCTTCCCACATCCTCAACTAGCAGAGTCAACAGTGAGAGACACTGGGAGATGACTCCTAACAACATATGGAAGGTCACAAGTTCCCCAACCTCACTTTTTAGCTCACATTTCATGTTCTTTACAGTTCCACCCCTAGAAAGGAACTCCCATCATAACTTTGATGTATTACAATCAGAGGTAGGTGACACTTCAGAGGGTGGTGTGGTAACGACAACCATCACAACATATGTGTCCCTTATATATTTGGAAAGAAGTGAGTTGATTGCAGCCTGATCATGATGATAATTATGACAACCATCACAACATATTTTAAATGTGTCTCTCATATATTTGGAAAGAAGTGAATTGATTGCAGCCTGATCATGATGATAATTAACCTTCACACCATTCTCCACACTGTAATTATTTCTACAATGTACTATGTGGAGGAACGAACAATGTCCTAAAATATGCCAGGCACTGAATGTGGTTATTTCAAATGCTTGTTTCCTTGGATTTATGAACAGTCTTCTTCTATGCACACCTGTTACCAAGTGTGGCTGGGGAAATCTTGCATATCAGCAGGTGGGAAAAGAGACCTGAACCCAGTTGAGGTAACTACACATAGCAGTTTTCAAGGGATGTGGTGCTGTACTTGATCCAGCTCTTTGGAATGCTAAATTGGATGCTGAATAATATAATTGATGGATCATAACTGATGTTAAGGCTAGTCTTAACTTGTCAATGTACAAGAAGGAGTTTATTCTCTTTGATGCAATTTGCCCTTCGAAAGCATCTTTGTGCACCGCTAACGATGAAGGCTGACTGGAAACCCATCTGATCCTAGATGATGGTTTGAGTGAGCCTTAATAAATGAGACTGAGGCCATTTTCACTGTCCCCATGATTTAAACTCCTCACTCCACATGCTTTCTAAAAGTGAAGATGTACTTGTTTTCCCAATATTACCTCAATATTTCACCTTTGTGGGAATCTCTGTAATCACTTTATGATTGTAAAGTAAGGTTTGGTAGGAAATTGAATCTGTTCTCAAAGTTTTTAAATGTTGTGCTCTTCTCTTATTTGTATGAAACTTTTGGACTTCTTGAAGATTGCCATTAAATCTTTCAAAATCCCTTAGGTAGGCCATGGCCTCTCAGGGTCCAAAATAAGTGAGGTCCAAAATAGCTGGAGAACTAAATATTCCCCTGAGAAATTTGATTTCTTTTTCTTTCTTTTTCAGATTTTCATGCGTGTGACCAGCTTACTTTGTCTTGTTGTTTCTTTAGGTTTTCTTCTTTGTTGCTTTCAATGGTGAATGAAACTCTCCAATGGTATTTCACTTTCACTGGGTTCACCAAAAATCGGCAGCTCCAGATTTTTTATTTCTCATTTTTCTTGCTCATTTATTTCCTAACCTTGGTGGGGAACATCATGATTATGTTGGTCATAGGAACAAGTCCTCAGCTTCAGAGTCCCATGTACTTTTTCTTGAGCCACCTCTCTTTCCTTGATGTGTGTTACTCTTCTGTTACCGTTCCAAAGATGCTGGAGACTATCATTGGAAAGCAGAAGACCATCTCAGTTCTTGGCTGCTTCACTCAGACATTTTGTATCTTGCTTTCCGCTACTGCTGAAGTTTTCCTCCTTTCATCTATGGCTTATGACAGATATTCGGCAATATGCAAACCACTGCATTACATGGAAACAATGAACATAGTGTTCTGTCAAAAGCTTGTGGCAGGTTCCTGGATTATTGGCTTCTTCTATGCAGTTGCAAACACATTGCCACTGTTAAAGTTGCAGTTTTGTGGATCAAACATCATCATGCATTTCATTTGTGAGCTCCCTTCCATCCTCTCTCTTTCTTGCAGTGAGACATCCATGAATAAAATGTTGTTCTTCATTTCTGGAAGTGCAGTTGGGCTTGTATCCCTGTTCCTCACAGTGCTGTCTTACATTTATATCATCTCCAGCATCCTGAGAATTAACTCCAGAGAAGGGAGGAATAAAGCTTTCTCCACCTGCAGCTCCCACCTCACAGTTGTGATCCTCTTCTATGGAACAGGTTACTTTCGCTATCTGAGACCTTCCTCAATGTCATCAGTAATCTTGGATGAACTGTTTTCCCTATAGTACTGTATATTCACACCCTTGCTAAATCCCATTATCTACAGTCTACAGAACAAGGAGGTGAAAGCTATGTTTAAGAAGAAACTGAGACTTGCATCTTGATATTATGGTTCCTGTTTAAAAACAAAGTAGTGTTGAAATTAAGAGAGATCACTGTCCTTGGGCATCTTCTCCTTTTCATTGGCCTGAATCCTATAAGGTGTGTGTACCTTGCCACAGCTATTTACTGCTATCTGACAATGCCCTGGGCTACATTTTGGCTATACATGTGTTCATATATCCAGCTGTGAATGTGAGATGCACCCCACATCTCATCAGTTAGATGCAATTAGCCATAGCAAGTTTCACAGATGTTACATGAACAGTAAGAGGATTCTTGCCATGGATTACTTAATTTGCGCTGTTTAGCTTTCCTGATTCTCAGTGTTCTACAAAGGTTATACACAGTGGACACCATAATCCTTTTCCTTTTTTTCTCACTTTGTTCTGAATCACCTCTCCCATACAGATTGGTCTAATTTTTACATTCTGAAGGGAAATGTACCTGTTTACTGTACTAAGTCAAAGTCCAGTTTTAGTTTATGAGGCTCAATAGGTAGTGGTGCAATCCTGATGAATGGAATCAGTTCTCTATTCAGGTTATAGGTTCCCAATGTTGGACAGTGGACCCTCGACTTACAGACGGCTCCACTTACAGACTTTTCGAGTTACAGACTTCTCTGGTCACAAAATTTAGTTTCGACTTGCAGCCAGAGAATCGGCCTACAGACCAGAAAAAAAATCACAAAATAGAACAAAAATGGAGCAAAAACAGCCGGTTACGGGATTAATCGGTTTTCAATGCATTGTAGGTCAATGGAGACTC